AGAGTAAGCGATCCCTACAAAAGGCAGATAGAAGTGGGGGTGGGGGGAAAATAGATCTTTATGGGTCATTAAATTCCTCATTAATGTTCTAATTTGCCTCCTTAACAGTCTGCTTCCTATCTTACTAAACAAACCAGACGTCAAGGATTCTTGACATGGAATCAGAGCAGGTACCTGAACCTCCAGCTCACCCCTGGCTGTGAGGAGCCTCCATGTGGTCAACACTAAGCAGCATCTCAGGCATGATCCATGGGCACCAGTCATGTACACCATCACCCATGGACGTTAGCATCTGACATTAGCCAACCACACAGTGCCTCTCTGATCCATATACTCAGGAGGCACTGATCAGCATTGCAAGGCGCACCAGAAACAGGGACATAGATTGGATCAGACTATATCTCAGAGCCAAAAACAGAACTTTCTGGAAAAGCTCAGCAGGTCGGTGAAGAGAAATCAGAGTTAACGTTTTGGGTCCAGTGACCCTTCACCTCTGTATCTCAGAGCAGCTTGCTGGCTCTCTTAGAGCTCACGCACATAGTGCCAGCCTGTGTGCCTGTAAAATTCCTGCCTCGCCACGTCATTTAGCTCATTGGTGCTTCAACTAGAGCCAAAGGCTCTCACTACTGCTATACCAACGTGCTCTTTTGTGCAGACACACAGGCGGGCTGCTTATCAGTAAGGACAGGTCTGGAAGTGGTTCAGGAAAGTGCATGTAGTGCCTTTACAGCCAGCAAGGAGATCAGTGCTAAAAGGGGTGGGGAATCAAGACTGGGGGAGAAAACACAGCCACTTGTAGAGGTGCAGACAGGGGGATGTTCGAGGTGTGTGGGTGTGAGGTGGCACAGCATTGGAGGGCACGGTAGGTAAAGGGAGGGGAGATTATTAGGAATGGCCAGCACCATAGCTTTCACCATCGAGCATAGAGGAGCAAAATTAAGGTGTAACGTCAATGGAATTGGAGATAAAATGCAACATGGTGGATCTCCACAAGAGTGGGATGAGTGAAAATGTGTTGTCAGGGTGGCATGAGATAAAAAGGGTCATGAAGGCTCTGGGGTGGGAGTGGGGGCGAGGTACCTGTTGACCAGGTGGAATCCAGTGATCTCCATCACGAGCTGTGCTCTCCGGCATCACTTGCTGTTCCTAGATGCAAAATGCAAATGTACAAAAGATTGGGACATCATGCATGGTGTCAAGAGCCCATATCAGTTTGATGGGAGAAACCTCAACAATGATTAATTTGGAATCATTTCCTCACTTATTTGTTATGTGGGCAGAATGAAGGCGCTTAGCATTCAGATACTGGTCAAAGGCAGATTGCGCCATTCCATTGTTGCTTGCAAATTAAAACATTGGCATCTCAATGATGCTGCAGTTAGCAGCAATGATGTTAAAACAGATCAATGCTGGTTAATGGTGAGCCATCAATCATACAATTTCCAAACGGACTGTGACAGGTGGATATCATCACATCTTCATCTGTCATGTAATGATTATCTGTACTGAATGCAGTGGAAAATTTCATGACTGATGTCGGTTTGGGATCGGGACAGGGTCAGAACACAACAGACTGTCCCTTTTGATGGAATGCCTTGGTCACACAGCCCGTGCTGAGGCTGAAGCAGAATGAATGGTGTTATTAGCCCACTGTATGCCTCATGGTGTGGAGGGGTGTGTGCAGCCCACATCTGCAAGTGATGCCACCAATTACCCCTCTGAGAACTAAGAATCTCTTTCACTTCTGTTCCCAATGTAGACCACTTCCACTGTGCCTTGCCATTGGTGGGATATTGATCGCTGGTGGCTGCCTTCCTGAGAAGGTGAAGGTGGAGGCAGGAGGGTCAGGGCCAATGGGAAGGTCAGGAGCAGCAACAGGCTACCATGGTACTCAGGAAACCAAGCCCAGGAAGGCATCACTGCTGCGGGGCCCCTCAGAATATTATGGACGACAAGAGGCCAAAAGTGTTTTGCTCCTGACTCCATTTCTTGGGGATGAGTGAGGCATGGTTTGATGCAGGCTTCATTTGTCCTGGAACATGTGATAACACTGTGATGCCGGAGCTGGACCCCAGGGTGACAGGAGTGGGCGGCCATCTTCTCTCGGGGGCTGTGAAGTGGGTAGCCACTTTGAACTTCTCTGTGACTGTCTCCTTCCAGGGATTGACGGCGGACCTGTGTGGGATTTCTCAGTCATGTATCCACCATGCATTAGGATGGTGAGCGATGCCAGCAGTGCAAGATCACCCTGGCTAATTTTGTTTCCCAATGATGAGGCCAGTACTGCAGCCTGTACAGTAGGATTCGAGAACATTACTGGCTTTCCCCAGGTGTAAGGTGCCATTGATTGTACACACATGTCACTGAGAGGGCCTTTATCACAATGCTGTGGAATTCATCACCAGGCAGGGATTCTGTCCCATTAATGTCCTGGTCATCTGTCATGTACGTCCATCATTCTGGCTTCTGCCACAACTCCTACATCCTGGAGCACTCTCATGTGCCTGGTATGTTTGAGGGTCCAGGGGCCTTACCATCCTGGGTGCTGAGGGATAAGGGGTACCCACTATGACCATGTCTCATGACCCATTACATAACCCATTGGCTGACACCCACTGATACACTGCTGCCCATCCTTCGAGCAGGGCAATGGGAGAGCAGCCGATGGAGCTGCTGAAGATGTGATCCCACTGCTCGGACCGGCTTTTCGGAAAGTTGTGGGAATCCTCCAGTACAGTCTGGGCAGGGTGTGCTGTATCATCCTGGTGTGCTGTGCCCTGCATTATTGGCGCAGGCAGTGAGCTGATGTGATAGACACTGAGGGCATGGGTGTCATTTTCCGAGGAGGAGGAGGATGAGGACATTGAGGACGAAGGAGCTCTCCTTGTCCATGACAGAGCTCAGCTGTGCCAGGTGTTACAAACCAGACAGGAGCTGCCTGAGCCCCCGGTATCAGTCAATGAGAGCTGGGTGCAGCAGACCATCATGGGCTGTGTAAAACTGTGCATTTCTTTCCTGTATTTATAATTACGAATGTAATGAGGAGAGAATTTTGTTTTAGAAAAACGAGGATTACTGGTAGATTGCTGTATGTTTTCGAAAGCAAGCAATATGACGCTCATTATAAGCACTGTTCATATTGCTGCTTATTCGAGCAATCTGTAAAGTGTGGTTGCAGATGATCTGGAGCCAAAGGGTTGCGTACAGATGGAGTTGTGATTGGTATAGGTAGCTAGCTGGTCTGTGAACTAGCAACCAGTTATTGATGATAAAAAGCCTTCTGCCTGACAACAATGATGTTCAATTAAACTAAACAGCCTGGGGCTATGAGCAAGATCCAGAGAGCTCATCAGATCTCCACAAGTTGAGAAGCTCTCTCTGTACTCTGCAGTAAAAGCCACTTTACCCTGATGATCCTTCGGCATTTCCTGTAAACTGTGGCATTTAATTGATAAATCAGAGAAGTTATACAAGTGGACCGGCCACCCTGCACCTCTTGTAAAGCAGTGGAAGTATCTGAAGGAGAAAGAGAGGGAGAGAAGCATCCTGACAAGTACAGGGACCATCTCCAATAAGACAGAATCTAACCACCACTGCTTGATATTCAATGCCATTACCATCACTGAATCCTCCACTATCAATATCCTAGGGCGTGACCATTGATCAGAAACTGAAAAAGACTAGACATATAAATACAGTGGCTACAAGAATGGGCCAAAGGCTGGAAATAATGCAGTGAGTAACTTCCCTCCTGACTCCCCAAAGCCTGTCCACTGGTCAGGACACTTGTTTCGATGGGTGCAGCTGCAACAACTCTCAAGAACCTTGATGCCAACAAGGACGAAGCAGCCCACTTGATTGGCACTACATCCAGAAATATTTACTCCCTCCACCACTGACGCTCAGTAGCATCAGAGTGTACTATCTACAAGATGCACTGCAGAAATTCACCAAACATCCTTGAACAGCACCTTCCAAACCCACACCATTTCCATCTAGAAGGACGAGGGCAGCAGATACATGGGAACACCACCATCCGCAAGATCCCCTTCAAGCCGTCACCATCCTGTCTTGGAAATACATCACTGTTCGTCTGTGTCACTGAGTTAAATGCCTGGAACTCCCTCCCTAACAGTATTAAGGGTCTCCATACACCATATGGACTGTAGGGGGTTAAGAAGGGAGCTCATTGTTGCCTTCTGAAGGGTAACTAGACACAGGCAACAAATCCTGGCCTAGTAAGTGATGCCCACATCCAATGACTGAGTAAGCAAGTAAATAAGTAAATAAATAAGAATCTCAGCAGCCCTGCGAACAGGAGTCACCGAACTGCCTTCACTGTCTTTCCCTCTGTTCATGTGCTTTCCTGTGTGTCTATGTATGTAGGGGACAATTATATGGAGATTACAGTTTTAGCTAGTAAAGGCACATTGATGGTTCATAGTTGTTTACCTGCAGCTAGAGTCCATTTCCTCATATTAAAGTTGTTCCTGCTTAATACTGAGACCTAACTTGGGTTTTCTGTCAACCTGGGCCTGAAAGTCAGGTAAATTGGGGAATCTTAGTGTAGTTTTAAAATCTTTCAGGTGTGTGATGGCTCCGGAAATAATAGGACTTGATTCCCAAAACACTACCCCCGTAAGGAGTCACAACTTGAGTACCAAGGGTATAAAAGACTATCAAGAATATGCAGGAATCTGGGGTTGAGGTTAAAATCAGATCAGCCATGATCTTATTGAATGGCAGAGCGAGCTCAAAGGACCAATGAACCTACACTTCCTTGTTCTCATGTTCATAAGTGTAAGATAGTCATGGGTCACATTGCCAGTATTTGGTTTATATTCTGGGAGAGAACTGCAGTCTCTAACCATTTTGTTTGCATTCCCTTTATTTGACTGGCAAATAAAAGCTCAAGTTTGGATACGTCAGACAGTGGAGGAGCACTCTTTCCCTTTCCTGCTGAAGAAAGACCAAATGAAAGGCATTGCAAACTTCCTCACCATTGCCTTTAATCCCATAGGGTAGTGAATGATGCAGATAGTTTGGCTTGTACCACCATCCACTCTTAATTGTTAAAAATACATCGGTATTTTGAATAAAACTGAAAAAGAAACAGATTGAGGAGTAAGAGATCAGAATAAATCAAAAAAATTAAAATCTAAATCAGTCAAAATGAAGAGATCAATAGTTTTGACTCACTTTGGGAGGATTGGCAAATCATTGTTTCTTGACAGCCAGGTTGAGCAATGTTCAGTTTGACTGTAATAAAACACAGACAGGTTTATGGAAAAGGAATTTTGCTGTTTTTCTGTCACAATAAATTTGACCTTTCAACCACCGCCAGCTACAACAGAACTAATCACGTCCCATGTTGTACTCAAACAGTGTCACAATAACAAGGCATTGGGTGGGGAATGAAACATGTTTAGCCATGTTGTTTCTGTTACTAAAGGGCTTTGGGACGCTGGAGCAACCTTACAAACATGTCATGGAACTACACATCACTGAGTATAAATAGCACAGAGTGGATAGAGTACGATTGCACAGCACTCTCTGGAAGAAACCCACCTGAAGTACACAAGGAATGCTACACTATAAATAGTCCAGCTAAACTCTGAAAACTCTTTTACATGTGGTTTGATGCCACACTATGAATTTAGATTCAAAACTGACTGACCACTATCTGCAGGCTTAGAATTCAAAGGAACATTGTTTAACATACATTAATACTAATGTAATGGTAATGATAGATATATAAGGCTTTGATTTATGGTTACTTTGTGGAAGGACTAGTCTATCTTCCTCGTGCGTGCATATCCATGTGCTAATGTGAATCTTCCATTCTAGATCTTTTGCTCTCTGGTGGTGTTCTTCCAGACAGTGCTGTGCAATCCTACTCAATCAACATTGGGTTATTTGTAATCAGTGATGTGTAGCTCCATGACATCATTGCTCCAGGGTCCTGAAGTCCTTACACAGCAGAAGCAACATTGCTAAATGTGTTCCATTCCCCACCCTATGCTCTGTTATTTTGACACTGTTTCAGTACAACATGAGGATATAGAAAGAGAGGTTCAACAAAGTGAGACACTCAAAGGAGGAGAAGCACAGTAGAGGGTCAGGACAAAGTGTCAGTTGGTAATAATAGCCACAATCACACTGTGATAGCTTGGATAGGGCAAGTGGTGGAAGTATGGCCAGGCAGATAGGCTTCATCTTGGGAGAAAGTGTCATTGCCCCTCAATTATGTTTTTGTCAAGGTCATTATGTTAGTGCAATCATCCATCATGGATGGCAAGGCTTTATTTCACAGGTAAATGGAATTTCTGGTGGGAGATGCAGATGGATCCACTGGCAGAGTCTACAAGGCCAACAGCAGGACTGGTGTGTGGAACAAGAAGGTGATCAGCAAGATTAACTCTCAGTAGATACATTGGCTGCCAAGAATGAAGAGACAGTAGGATCGGGCAATGAGGTTTCTGCTTGAAATAAGTCAATGGCAAATGCCTTCAGCAGCCAGCCAGAGGATTCCAAGAGAGACACATGGGGAAGCTTTAGGTTTATATCAGGCAGTCAAGCCTGAATTGGTGCCAAGAGAATAGTAAGATCCAGATGTACAGATGGGTTGGAGTGGAGATTTGAGCTGGAAGGACACCTGAGAGGCAAGATGTGAAAAAATAGACATGCAACTGAAAAGAGTCAAGGAGGTGAAAAGAAATAGGAAATTTTAAATTTTTAAAATGCACAAACATGTAATTTTGAACAAGGCTTAGGGCGAGATCAGCAGCAAAAGACCTCCTGCCAGATATTGTGCATGGGGAGGTTTTCCCTAATAATGAAAATGCAAAAGGTGTATAGAGTCAGTTCTGGGATTATAAAAATGATGGTGAAGTTGGAAAACAAATTCTAGAAGCAAACAGAGGATAGTTTTCTGGGCAAACTGGTGAGGCTCTGCCTAGAGCAGACTGAAGCTGAGAAACCAGGAACCAATCACAAGCTCAGCAGATCCAGAGTTAAGGACAATTCTCCAGAGTTGCTGGAAGTGCCTACTTACTGGTTCAGTAATAAGGTTGCTAGAAATCCCTCTAAACATCAATGATTTATGCCATCAGATTTCTGTAATCTTAACTTTGAAATTCCCTTTGAAAACATCTGTACTTCTCAATTCTTCTTGAAGAAATGTTTTGATTAGGTTGTTGGCCACATATATCTTTCACTAGCTCAATGTCAAATTTTGTCTAAAATACTCCTGTTGAGTGCACTGAGATATCTTCACTGTAATAAAAAAATGGACATACCTCAGACAATCAGAGTTGATTTATCAAACAATCAGAGTCCTTTTCTTCCGTTGTAAAATACTATGAGCATTTGGAATTAGATGTCCCTGCTTTTTTCTTTATTCATTCCCAGCATGAGGGCATTACTGGCCAGGCAACATTTATTGCCCATCCCTAATTGTTCAGAGTCAACTGCATTGCTGTGAGTCTGGAGTCACACGTAGGTCAGACCAGGTGAGGATGGCAGTTTCCTTCCCTAAAAGACATTAGTGAACCAGATGGGTTTGTCTGGCAATCAACAATGGGTTAATGGTCATCATTAGGTTCTTAATTCCAGATAGTTTTATAAAATTCAAATTCCACCATCTATCATTTGGGTCTCTGGATTAACAGTCCAGTAATAATACCACTAGGCTCCCCATGATGTCCTGACCAGTACAAGACAAAATGCTTCAGCGACATGTCTCACTTGTCATCAAGATTCAAGCTCTAAAGTGCTAAACAGCTTATGCTGAAGGTGCAAAGATTTGTAGATTGATTTTGTTGCATACAAGATTAGAGGAATGGTGTCCAAACTTGAAGTTTAAACTAAAAGAAAGCAAATAATTCCACAGCCACAGGGAGTATGGATGAGATTTGGAACGGAGCATTAGATATCAAATAGTGTTAAGGATAGCTCAGTGATTAATTTGAGTGAGAGAAACTTGAACAAAAGTCATTGTGTGCTAAAAGAGATTAGCACTAAAAAGAATCCCCCTCGTCCTCACGTACCACCCCACCAACCTCCGGATCCAACGCATCATCCTCCGACACTTCCACCATCTACAATCCGACCCCACCACCAAAGACATCTTTCCCTCCCCACCTTTATCTGCTTTCCGGAGGGACAACTCTCTCCGTGACTCCCTTGTCCGCTCCACACTCCCCTCCAGCTCCACCACACCCGGCACTTTTCCCTGCAACCGCAGGAAGTGCTACACCTGCCCCCATACCTCCTCCCTCACCCCCATCCCAGGCCCCAAGAAGACTTTCCACATCAAGCAGATGTTCACCTGCACATCTGCCAATGTGGTATACTGCATCCGCTGTACCCGGTGTGGCTTCCTCTACATCGGGGAAACCAAGCGGAGACTCGGGGACCGCTTTGCAGAACACCTACGCTCGGTTCGCAACAAACAACTGCACCTCCCAGTCGTGAACCATTTCAACTCCCCCTCCCATTCCTCAGACGACATGTCCATCCTGGGCCTCCTGCAGTGCCACAACGATGCCACCCGAAGGGTGCAGGAACAGCAACTCATATTCCGCTTGGGAACCCTGCAGCCCAATGGTATCAATGTGGATTTCACAAGTTTCAAAATCTCCCCTCCCCCCACCGCATCCCAAAACCAGTCCAACTCGTCCCTGCCTCCCTAACCTGTTCTTCCTCCCACCTATCCCCTCCTCCCACCTCAAGCCGCACCTCCATCTCCTACCGACCAACCTCATCCCGCCCCCTTGACCTGTCCGTCCTCCCTGGACTGACCTATCCCCTTCCTAACTCCCTACCTACACTCACCTTTCCTGGCCCCATCCCCGCCTCTTCGACCTGTTTGTTTCCTCTCCACCTATCCTCTCCTCTATCCCTCTTCTATCCGCCTCCCACTCTCTCCCTATTTATTTCAAAACCCCCTTCCCCTCCCCCTTTTCTGATGAAGGGTCTAGGCCCGAAACGTCAGCCTCTCTGCTCCTATGATGCTGCTTGGCCTGCTGTATTCATCCAGCCCTGCACCTTGTTGTCTTAGCACTAAGTGGTTGTTTTTCATACTGGAGGAAGGTATGCTGTGCAATTGCCCAGGAGTTAGCTCTAAGACCAAAGATTTTTATGACCTAATTCAATGATTTAGACTTTGGTATACAAAGAGCTTGCAGAAGATGCAAAGCTTGGGTCAACAAAGAAGAAAACCAGTTTGATTGAACGGGCAGACACATGGAAGATGAAAATTAAACAGAGAAGGATGAAGTGATGCATTTTGGTAGGAAGCTTGAGGAAAAGTAATCTAAATTAAAGATACAATTATAAAGGGTTTGTAGCAGCAAGTAGACTTCATACATGTGCATAAATCATTGGAGTTGACAGCAAAGGCTGAAAAACTGATTTAGAAAGCATTCCAGGATCTTGGGCTTGATATATAAAATAAAAGAAATTACAGTGAATCTTTGTAAAACATCAGTTTGGCCTCAAGTCAGATTACTGTGATCAATTCCAGGAACAGCAATTTAAGGAAGATGTGAAGTTTTTAGAGGCAGGTTGGAAAAGGTTTACGAGGATGGTTGGAGATTTGAGGGACTTCAGTAATTTGGAGAAAATTAGATTATTTTCCCTGGATAAGAGGAGTGTTAGCGGGGATTTGATAAAATGTTCAAAATCATGAGGGGTCTGAACAGAGTGGATAAAGAGAAACTGTTCTCATTGGTGGAAGGGTAGAGAAATAGATCACTGACAAAAAAACAATAAGAACACAAGGCAAAATGTTTTCATGCAGTGATCTAAAGCCAGAATGTAGTACTTCAGGGCTTTTTGGAGGGAAAGTCAACTAAGACTTTTATCAAAGATTGGGATAAGTCATTAAGGGACGAATTGTATGGGTTATGGGCAAAGGGATAACAGAGTGGGACTCACTGAATTGTTCTGGAAACCCAATTGGCTGAATGGCCTAGTTCAGTCATGGAACTATTTTACTATTCAGTGATAATTCATGATAACGGCTGAGAAAAGGGGAGAAGGGACCTACAAGTTTTCTAGTGTTCCACTGGAAATCTTGCAGGATTCAACGAGGGCCAGGGGGTCAAAGTTATTCAATCTGTTGACATTGGAATGAATAACTTGCTGTCACAACAATGGTGTGAACTGAAGTGGATGAACAAGTTGAGGCAGGTCAGAAGTCACACAACACCAGGTTATAGTCTAAAAGGTTTATTTGAAAACACAAGCTTTCAGAGTGTAGCCCCTTCATCAGGTGAAGTGAGAAAGAAGTGCACAGACACAGAATTTATAGGCAGAGAGGTCATGGACAGAGAGATCAAAATATCCTACAAACGGTGTGAGTGAAGCGTCAAATAATAAGTCTCTGCAGGTGATCAAACAGCTTTCAAGATACACAACAACGCAGAATCGCTGAGCAGAAACTGATAGCCAAGTTCTGCACCTACGAAGACAGCCCAACTGTGATCTTGGGGTCATGTCACGGTACATGTGACCCCACCACACTGTTCTGTATCTGTAAAATCTTCCTTACTATTCTGTTTTGACACTATCACCTTGACAATGTATTATGATCTCTCTACCTTAATTAGTTTGTACAGTTTTGGATTACTTATTACTTTGGTTAGACCCTCAACATGTGACTCTTATACCTATTGTGTTATTCCAGTCATTTGGTTTGTCTCCAGCACCACCTTATTTTTATGTTTTTTTGTAATTATCTCTCTGCCTTATTTAATTGGATAATAGGTCATCCCTTCACTTGTTATTCAGCTGTTGACACTTTTACTCAAACCATCTGACACTTTTGATCACCAGCAGAGACTTATTATTCAACACTTCACTGGCACCATTTTTATGACCTTTTGATCTCTCTGCTTATAACTTCTGTGTCTGTGTGCTTCTCTCTCACTTCACCTGACGAAGGGGCTACGCTCTGAAAGTTTGTGATTTCAAATAAACCTGTTGGAATGTAACCTGGTGTCGTGTGACTTCTGGCTTTGTCCACCCCAGTCCAACACTGGCTCCTCAATGAGTTGTTCAGCCAGAAAAGGTCAATAAAGGCCATTCTTCAACCATCTCCTGGCACCCAACCAATTACATTCTGTCTTTTGCTTCATACGCCGTTTATATCACAGCCAGCAATAAAAACAGCCTGCATGGGTTCTCACACCTTTTGTGTCATAAAATAAACCCACATGCTTCACAGGATTATTATCAAATGTAATTTGAAACAGAGCTACTTATGAAGATGAGCAGGTGGTAAAAATCTAGATCAAAGAGGTAGGCTTTAAGGATGATTTAAATGAGGACAGACAGGTAGAAAGAAGCAAAGCTTCAGGGAGGAAAGGCCAGAGATTAAGGCCTAGCAGCTGAAGGCAATGCCACCAGTAGTGAAGTAAATTAAATTAGAGACGTGTGTGAGGCCAGAATAAAAGCTCAGGTATCTTGGAGAGTTCTTTATTATTCATGGGATGAGGGCATCGTTGGCCTGACAGCACTTGTTGCCCATCCCTAGAGGACACTTAAGAGTCAACCACAGTGATTCTTAAATTGTGGGATTAGAGAAGAATGCAGGAAGGGGACAGGCTATAGTTGGCATGGGGATGAGAATTTTTGAATCAAGGCATTGCTGGACTGGGAGTTAATGTCAATCTGCAAACACAGGAATGACAGATGAATGGGACTTGATGTGAGTTAGAAGGGGACTAGCAGTTTTACTTACGAGTGAGCAAAATCAAATTTGACAACTTTTCTGAATCTGAGGAAAAGAAATAAACATTAACATTAGAGAGACAGACAACTAATAGTGACACTGAACGAATGCTCCTGTTTCAGCAAGCAACGATAATCAAAACGCACATACAGAATCACTAAATCTCAGAATTATTACAGCACAGAGGCCAATAGGCCCATCGTGCCTGTATTGGCTCTTCAATTGAGCATCATTGCCTAGTGCCAATCTCCTGCCTTTGCCCCACCCTCTTGTCCACTATTTTTTTATCTCTTGAATGCCTGTCTCCTCCATATTGCCAGGCAGTGCGTTCCAGACACCAACTACTTGCTGTGTGAAAAGGTGCTTTTCTTACATTATCCTTGCTTTGTGTGCACAGGTCATTGATTCTATGCACTCTCATTCTCGTTCTTTTTATGAGTGGGAACACTTTCTCTCTATCCAGCCTACGTATGATTTTGAAAACATCCATCAAATCTCCTGTCAGCCTTCTTCTCCCCAAGGAGAACAGTCCCAAATTTTTCAATCTGTCCTCATCACTGAAAGTTCTCATTCCTGGAACCATTCTTGTAAATCACTGTAAAGCACTTTCTCCAATATGCTCACATCTTTCCTGTAATGCAGTGCCCATAATTTGTATATAATACCCCAGGTGAGGCCTTCAAGTGTCTTGATACAAGATCAATGTCACCTCCTTTCTCTTATACTCTATGCCTCTATTAATAAAGCTGACCTTACTGCTTTATTAATTGCTCTTTCTGCCTGTCCTGTCCCTTCAATTATTTGTGCATCTGTGCACACCCAGTTTCCTCTGCACCTGCACCCACTTTAGAATTATAACTCTTATTTTATATTGTCTTTCAATGTTCTTCCAAAGAAAATGCATCACCTCACACTTCTCGGCATTGAACCTCATGTGCGACCTATCTACCCACTCCATCAACTTGTCTGTGTCCTTTTACAGCTCTATGCTGTCCTCCTTGCTGTTTACAATTCTTCCAAGTTTTGTGTCAACTGAAATATACCACATCAACAGCATTACCCTCATCAAACCTTTCAATTAGCCTCTTCAAAAAACTCGAGCAAGTTGTTGAAACAAGAATTCCCCTTTAGAAATCCATGCTGACTCTTCGTAATCAACATACTTTTTCAATGTGACGAGTAATTCTATCCCAAATAATAATTTCTCAAAGCTTCCCCATCACCATAGTTAAAATGATTGGTCTATAATTGCAGGGGTAATCATTATATCTGTTTTTGAACAAAGCTGTAATATTTGCAATCCCCCAGTCTTCCGACACCACCTGGGAAGACCAGAAGATTATGTCAGTGTCCCCACAAGGCTACCATCATTTCCTTCAAAATACATGGATACATTTCATTCATTCCTGGTGCCTTGTCACCTTTAAGTGCCACAGTCTATCCAACACTATTTCTTTATTAATATTGGCATCAACTAGTGACAGGCTTTCCTCCTTTGTCACCATGGTCTGAGCAAAGCCTCCTCTTTCGAAAAGATAGATGCAAAGTACTCACTTAACACATCAGACATGCCCCTGCCTCCATGTGAATGTCCATTTTTTTAAATCTTTAATTAGCCCTACTTCTTTAACTGTTCATATGCCTATAGAAGATTTTGGGTTCTCCCCTTATGTTAGCTGAATATCTTCGATCATAATTCCTCCTTGCTTGTTTGCTTTTGCATATTCCCTCTAAACATTCGGTATTTTTCTTGGTCCCCTAATGTATTTTCTGCCATTCACCTGTCATAAGCACGCTTTTTCTTTCTTCTGTTAATTTCTACCTCCTTTGTCAGCCAGGGAGCCCTGAGTTTGATTGTCCTTGTTTTCCCATTTGAGGGAATATCCCTTGCCTGTACCTGATCATCTGCTCTGTGAAGGGAGTCCATTGTTCAGTTGCTGTTTTTTTCTGTCAACCCCTTGGTTCCAGTCAATCCTGCCCAGCTCTCTTCTTGCCCTGCTGAAGTCAGCGTTCTGGCAATTGGCTTTTCTTACTTTGGATTAATGAACATCATTCTGAACTTTATGATACAATTGTCACTGTTTCCTAAATGTTCCCTCATTAACACATGATCCACCTGGCCCACCTCATTTCCAAGGACCAGGTCCAACAATGTATCCATTCTTGTTGGACTGGACATATACTGCTGGAGGAAATCACCTGAACACAATCTGGGAACACTTGCCCCTTACACTACAAGTATCCCAGTTTATATTTGGATAAATGAAGTCCCCTATTATAACTACTGTACTACACCTCTCTGTAATTTCCCTGAAGATTTGGTCCTCTACAGGCTTTCCACTAGTTAGTGATCTATAGATTACATCGAGCAAATTAATTGAGCTCTTTTTATTCTTTAGCTCTAGCCAAGTTGACTCTACCCTTGAACCCTCTGTAACATCCTCTTTCTCTAGCACTGCAATGTCCTCCTTAACCAATACATACTTGTCTAGTATCTTATTGACACAGTCCCTCATTTCACTATGTCACTTGTTAATCAACGTGAAGCAAAACATTTCTTGAGCTTTTAAAAACAAAGGTTTTGAAATTGAAATCTGATTGGCAACTTGTGGGCAAAGAGATTCTGCCAAGTGAATCCAATTTCTGTGTATGTGGGGCCAGTCATTGTTAGTGCAGAGAACATATTTATCCTTCATTGTTACTTCACCAACAATCTGGACATAACTTCCCTTCAAGATCATGAAACGTCCCCTCCTTTTTTAAAACCGTCTGATTTTAATATGTAATGTTGAATCAAATTGAGTGTGAAATGGTGGGTGTTCAGATTGCACTACTTTTTTATTGTGTAGATTAGATTTATTTTATTCCAACATCTCTGTTACAATGTTCTGATGTAATTGAAGCTGAATCATTTCATTGTGGTGACAGTTGTTACAACTATCCAGCTGTCTGATTCATTCATTTTCATGAGTATAATTTTTAGATTGGGCACTGAAATTGTTAAAAGTGGGAGAAATGAAAACTTGTTTAAGAGGCTGGCAGACAATGCTCAGGGAATTTCAAATCAAAAGGTGGCCCATTTTGTTTACTGGGGCAAGTGTGGGAAATTTTATGGGCAACTTTTCTGAGCTTCTTGGTTGAATCTGGATGTCTACTGCTGTCTCAATAAGGGGTTTAAATTATTTGTGAGGTTTCCCAGAACAAAGGGAAGTTTATTGGACATCAGATATAATCAGCTTAAACGTTTGACTGGAACATCCCAGAAGTGCTATATTCCCCTGGAAATAGGTTACACGGGGAGAAACCTTTCTTGGTGAGGAGTTTAGCTCTGTGCTTTCTCAGAGAGTGGTATTTGGAAACCACTGGAATTGAAAGAGAGAAGACTTCCAGTAGCTGTTGCTTTGAAGCTGCTGGAACCATGGATGATGGATGATGGCATATTTCCTGGGATATTTTGATCTCACCAGGCAAGAATGCAGTGAGGCCTATTCTTGACCTGGGTAACCACAATAGTGAGATGTTGAAAGACTGTTAGAGAATGTGCCTGGACAGGTATTTGTGCAATTCTCATACCACAGGGAAAATGTGGGTGCCAAGTAGAAAATAAATGAATTCCAGAAAGCTGTAGCATTTCTTGGCTTGGTGCAGGAGAAGTTAAGGGATCCTAAAGATCTTGTAAAATATATGGGAACTTTTGGGTGAAAGTTAGAATAAGGAATGTTCTATTGAGATTTTCAGGCTTAAAGTATAAATGTTAGCAAAACACAGTGATCCATTAACAGAGCTTGTTTTATTTAACTCTTGGTACAGTGCTTGAAATATGAAATCTTGTGGCACAATCATTCAGCTAATAACTGAGATTCATTTCTTTTCAAAAATGAAACTGGTCTTCACCGAAATACAAAGAAAAAATGCATTCAGCAATGTTCCCTTTTCTTAAAGTTGCCAGAACATAATCATTAGGCTCTTCTTTGTAACTGGGAAGTGAGGAAGTAAGTTGCTCAATGCAGAATTCCCAGCTTCCAACCTACTCTGTAACACCAAGATTTATATAGATATTACAATTAAGTTGTGGTCAATAGTAATTCCCCACAATATAGATTGTGGATTCAGTGATGGGAATGCCATTGAATGTAAGGAAAGTTGGTTCGATTTTATCTTGTTGGAGATGGTTCCTGCCATGTACTTGCATGATAATGAGTGCTAGCTGTTAATTATTGCCTAAGTTTGAACATTGTCCAAGTCTCCCAGAGATAGCAAGAATTGCAGATGCTGGAGTCAGTCAATACAGTGTGGAGATGGAGGAACGCAGCAGGTCAGGCTGCATCAGAAAAGCAGGAAAGTCGGCGTTTCACGTTTCCACCCTTCACCAGGTGTAAATCCAAAATGTCAACTTTCCTGCTCCTCTGATGCTGCCTGACCTGCTGCGTTCCTCCAGCTCCACACTATATTGACATTGTCCAAGTCTTACTGTGTGTGGTCACAGATCAATTCCAATGTGAGGAGCCATGAATGGTGTCAAACTTTGTGCAGTTATTAGCAAACATCCCCGCATTGGACCTTTTAATAAAGGGAAATCATTAATGGAGCAGCTTTAGATGGTTGCACCCAGGACAGCAGTCCATGGAACCCCTGCAGCAATATTGTCGGTATGAGATGATTGGTCTCTGATGCTATAACTATCTTCCTTAGGTATGACTCCAATCAATAGATGGTTACCCTGATTCCCACTGATTTCAATTGTGTTGGGTCTCCTTGATATCACACTCTGTCAACTGCTGCCTTAATGTCGAGAGCAATTACTCTCACTTAACAGATTTCCCAGGAAACCATCCTCAGTGGCTCATCCTCAGTCAATTGTTCTTTTGTGCAAAAATAAATGATAAAAATCATTTTTGGAACTAATGAGAACACACACTTGTCAAATATGCTGGCTTGGTTTAATTAAATTGCTTACGAAATGTGCAAGGATCTATTTTTCACACAGAAGGTGGTACGTGTATAGAATGAGCTGCCAGAGAAAGTGGTGGAGGCTGGTACAATTACATTTAAAAGGCTTATGGATGGGTGTATGAATAGGAAGCGTTTAGAGGGATATGGGTCAAATGCTGGCAAATAGGACTAGATTAATTTAGGATATCTGGTCGGCATGGACAAGTTGGACCAAAGGATCTGTTTCCATGCTGTACAGCTCTATGACTCTATGACTCCAAAGGCGAAAAGCTCCAATGTGTAAGAAAATACTTAACAACCCACAAACTTTAAGAGACCTTATGGGCAGTATGGTGATAGAGTGGTTAGCACTGCTGCCTCACAGCTCCAGAGACATGGGCTTGATTCCAGACCTCAGCAATTATCTGTGTGGAGTTCTCCCTGCATCTGTGTGGATTTCCATTGGGTGCTCTGGTTGCCTCCTGCAGTCCAAAGATGTGCAAGTTAGGTGGATTGGGCAACTTAAATTACTCATAGTATCCAGGGATGTGCAGGCTAGGTGAATTAATTATGGTTAATGTGGGGTCACATGGCTAGTGTTGAATGCTCTTTGAAGGGTCAGTGCAGATTGAATGGGCCAAATGGCCTCTATCTGCACTCTAGGGATTCCCTGAGACCAGGGTTCAGGCAAAAGGGATGTTTGGATATGGAATTTATGAAGGAGGGAGGGAGACAGTAGTTTAAGTACATGATCTTTTCTGTTCCTTATTCAATTAGCTTCTATGTCTGGACAATTAGCCTAACTTAGGAGCTGGAGAAAAAGACTTTCACTTTCAAGGTGCCATTGGAATTGATGGTTTAACTCTACAAACACCCACCTTAACATCAGGAGAGGTAAGGATGTGAGAGTGATAAAGCTTGTTTTTACTCACAGTAGGGAGGTGATGTCAAAGCGGAATTTTCCCAATTGGAGGGATGACCTAAAACACATGAAACATCATATGTCAGACACAGGATACATAAATAAAGTAAGAGTGAATTTTGATAATGCAGCAAATAAAAATCAATATACTGAAAGGCATCTCACTGCTATATTCATGACCTCTTCACCATGCGTCATACAGAGAAAGGACCTAAAGGCTTTTTAAACAATCGGCTTCAAAGTGAAATATGCAGAAGTTTAAAAGCTTTGTAAATTCAAATTCTACAGCAGCAAAATGTCTACTCTTCCAGCCAGGAAATAACGTGGGGGAGTGTTAAGATTTGTTGCGGGGGAGAAATAATTATATGGATAAATCATATTAAACAGGCTTTAACACAAAGAACAAGATCTTATATATATAGATCTATACATCTCACAATTTTGACTTGAGCCTGTAGTTTCTAAACAAATATGGAAATGACAGAATGGCCATTATTGTATAACAGGATTAGAATTGATCAATAAACATCCTGAAAGAAAATGTTCCTAATTTATAATGATTACAAAAACCAATAAATCTTGCATACACATACATTCAACAATGCAGTAATTAATTCTACTAAGTATCAAAAAGGAAATGATTCATGGAGAAGATACTCGAAAGGACTTACCCAAAGAACTTGGTCCAATGAATGATCAAAATCAATAAGATCAGTGTGAAATACGCAAAAGGAAAGAAACATTTACTCTTATTCCAATCTATGAACAACACAAGAAAATAATTATTTTGAGCTATTCCATATTAGAGTTTATAGCAGGACTCAGACAATGAACATTAAAACTGTAACATTGCAACACTATAACCTGAAATGAAACCTCTCTCTGAACATTGAACTGTAACAAAAACAGAAGTTGCTGGAGAAAGTCAATCATTGTCTGTGGAGAGAAAACAGAAATAACATTTCGAATCCAGTGACCTCAAGTTCTGAAGAAACATCACTGGACTTGAAACATTAATTCTTGTTTCTCTCTACAGATGCTGCCAGACCTGCTGACCTTCTTCAGCAATTTCTGTTTTTGTTTGTTTTAGATCTTCAGCATCCACAGTTCTTTGATTATTGAATTGTAATTTGTCTACTTCACATCACAATAACTGAAACGGGAAGGAAGTTTGATGTCAAATGAAAGCACAAGGTCTATTTCAATTCTGAGTAAATTGAGAATCAAAATGAGAGTTATTCAATCTCACCAGTCAACAAAAACAACATATAGCACCTATAATGTAACAGAATGTCTCAAAATGTTGAACAGGAGTATTTTAGAGCACATGAGGGAATATCAAGCAAGATGACTCAATATTTAGTCAAAGAAGTAGGTTTTAATGAGCTTTTTGAAGGAGGAAAGAGGTTAAAAAAAATTGAAAAATTTAAGGAGGGACTTCAAAGCTGCGAGCTTCTGTAACTGAAGATATAACAAAGAACAAAAGAGGAGCACAGCACAAGAACAGGCCCATCAGCCCTCCAAGCCTGTGCTGATCATCAAACCCTGACTCAGCTAAAAAACAAACCTTCTGCCCTTATTCAGTCCGTACCCTTCTATTCCCTTCCTATTCATGTAACCATCCAGACGACTCAAATAGCCACCAATGGTGCAGCAATTCACATCAAGAATACTCAAGAGAGCAGAATTGGCAAGGTTTCCTGGACAGTCAAGGGGAAAGAGGAGATTAGTGCAATTGCAGGGATGATGTCAAGTGCAGGTTGAAAGCAAAGATGGCAATTTTAAACTTGAGACCAATAATGGTCAGCGAGAATAGGCATGATAGATAAAATGATGCTCATTGCAGGTTAGGTTTCAGGAACCAACACCCAAGCTTTCAACAATCTCAACTTTATGGAGGCCAGGCAGGAATATATTGGAATAATCAAGTCATGAGGTAACAAGGACATGGCTGGGAGTTTCGCAGGTGGTTGAACAGAAGCAGGGAAGCACTCAAAGATGGTTCGCAGGCAGTCTAAGAGATGGAGCAGGATGCTCGTTGCAAGATCAATGAGAGCATCATGGTTGCAAACTGCCTTTTTCAGGCTTCAGCAGTTGTCAGGAAAAGGGATGGAGTCCTTTCATAGGGTACAAAGTTTATGGACTGTGGCTTTGGTCTTTCCAATATTTAATTGGAGGTGATTTCCATTAGCCAGCATTGGAAGTGGGACAAGAAGTCTGATAGTTTAGCAGTAGTAAGGAACTGAAAGAGGTGGTGGTAAAGTGGGCTTGTCTGTCACAAGTGTGCTTCTTAAAACGAGCCCTAGGCTATTGTATAATGTCGCCAAGGGGCAACATGTACGTGAGAAATAGAAGGAGGTCAGTGATAGATCCTTAGGGAACATCAGAGGTAACAGTATAAAAATGGGAAGAGATTATGTTGCAGGTGAATCTTTGGTTATGACAAGATAGGTAAGAATAAAAGATGTTAAATGTATGAGCGTGGATAAGTATTACAGCAAAATTTTATAGTCAAGGCTGTGTACAGATCAAAACAACGGGGGTTTGGGAGAAAGTTGCTGCAATAATCGTTAGTGATTTTAATCTTCATGTTGACTGGTCAAATCAAATTGGCAAAGTAGCCTGAAGGATGAGCTCATACAGTGTAGTCAGGACATTGTCTTAGAATAATATCTTTTGAGAAAAGGTTAAGCACTTTAGGCCTGTGGTTATTGACATTTTGAAGAGTGAGATTACGAAGCATTATGAGGTGGCTTATCTAAGGAAAGTTTATTGCTATTGAAGGCAATCCAGTGAAGATTTATTAGGCTGATACTAGGTAGGTAGGAAATTTCTTTGAAGACAGTCTGAGTAAATTGGGCCTGTACTCACCGCAGTTTAAAAGAATGAGAGGAGACCTAATTGAATAATATAAAATTCATATGGGACTTGACAGGGTTTCTGCAGAGGGGGTGTTTCCCCTTGTGGGAGAGAAGAACCAGAGGACATCATCTCAGAGTGAGGGTTTGTCCAGTTAATGCAGAGATAGGGTGGACTTTTTTCTCTCAAGAGAATATTGAGTCTGTGGAACTCTTTACTGAAGACAACTGAATTTTCTCCTTGTAATAAACGATTCAATGACTAAGGGAGTCTTGGACTATCCAAGAAGCTGCCAATTTGATGAGGCCCATCTACCCTGACAGCATATAAAGGATAAATTGACATTAGTTTAAACAGGTTCTCCATCATGTCCTAGCCAATATTTAGACATCAGCCAAAATCACTAACATAGAGTATTAGGTCCTTATCATCTTGTTGTTTGCAGGTACTTGATGTGACAAATCGACTGTGGTATCACCTATTGTGTAAAAATGGGCTCAATTCAAAAAATATTTTATTGATTGAGATGTATTTTATGATATCCTGAGAACATGACAGACTGTATGTTCTGACTTTCCTTCCTTTTAGCAATGCCACATCTGGTAGCCTTCCTCATCCTATTACAGTAAAAATGCAACTGGCTTCACGTGTGCCTTTGATCAGAGTTTTAATCTCCAGACAGAACACAAAGATGCTGCAGTACACAACAAACCCCTCCTATTTGTTCGGAATTTCATCCTTATTGGTCAGACAAGCAATGATCGAATTCCCACTTCTTGGACTTAGGGCTTTATGGGACATTTCATCTGTAATAGGAAGAAAGGGGATTTTAGATTTAAAAATATTGCTTAACTATTGCAATACAATTTCACAAATCAAAGAATGTTAGAGTAATATAGTGTTATCTACTCCACAAGAGGAGGCTGTTCAGCCCACAGACTCCATCCAGGTTCACCGAACTCCGCAGAATGGTCTCTGCATTCTTGCAGATTTATTTAATCCAATTCCCATCCAATTTCCCTTTGAAATCATTGTTTCTGCTTTTACCATCAGCATGGGCAATTAGTTACGGGTCATAACCACTCACTGCAAAAAAAAAGCTTTTCTTTCAGGTTGCCCCTGAATTTGTTGTCCAAAATCTTAAATCAATGTCCCTTAGTCCTTGTCCCATCAGTTAATGGAAACATTTTCTTCATCTGTAGCGTATCCGACCCAGTAATAATTGTGAGCAGTGCTATCAAGTTATCCTGCAATCCAAGGAGAAAATCACAACTTTCCACAACTAACCTTGTGGCTAAAATCTACCAACACTAGGACTATTCTAGCAAGTCTTTTCTACACCTACTCAAGGAACCATTACATCTTTCCTAGAGTGTGGTGACCCGACTGGACACAGCGTTAAGCCGGAAATCTGAAACAGAAATAGAAATTGCTGGAGAAACTCAATATCTGTGGACTGAAAGCAGAGATAACTTTTGAGTTCAGTGACTCTTCATCAGAACATCAGAACTTCAAGTCTGATGAGGAGTCACCAGATTCAAAACGTTAATTTTTTTTTTCTCTCTCTACAGATGCTGTCAGACTGGCTGAGTTTCTCCAGTACTTTGTTTTGTTTCAGGACACAACACTCTTGTTGTGGATGAACCTGAACTTCAAAATGGCTCAGCATAACTTCTCTACCTCCGTATTCAATGCCTGTATTTGGGAAGCCCAATATCCCATGTGCCTTGCTGACTACCAGCTCATAAGTATCCAGCCTCCTTCAAGTATCAATGCAAATACAACCCCAGTCCCTCTGTTCTTGTACACTCCTTTGAACTATGGTATTAACTTATATTATCAACTATTTGCCACCTGTGGAGCTCACATTGATTGTGCTCTATGTCTAAAGGGAATCAAGATAATTCCTGGAACAGAAATTGAAGTTCTTCAATGAGGAACCCAGAGGAGGTTGTGAATGAGATTGACAATATATGTGCTGGATGTACTGCTAATCTAATTCTCAAGATCTATCCTGCTGTTTAGTAAGTCATTTATAGTTTAAAGTCCAGCCTGACAATTCAAGTTTAATTTATATTAAATTTGGGTTTTAGATTAGAGGAGGCTCATCTCTTGTATGTTAAAAGTCCTTTTGTTCTAAACTGTGGAACTTTGTGGGTTTTTTTTGTAAATAACCAGGTCTTTGGACTTCCTATTTATAAACATCTTCATCTTCAGTTGCTTCATCAATGACCTTCCCTCCAACATCAGATCAGAAGTGAGCACATTTGCCAATGATTGCACAATGTTCAGCATCATTTGCGACTCCTCAGATACTGAAGCAGTTCATATTCTAATGCACCAAGATCTGAACATTACCCAGGCTTGGGTTGACAAGTTGCAAGTAACATTTGTGTCATACAAAAACCAGGCAATGACTATGTCCAATAAGGGACAATCGAACCATTGCCCCTTGACATTCAATGGTGTTGCCATCACTGAATCCTCCACTATCAACATCCTGGGGGTTATCATTGACTAGAAACTCAACAGAACTCACCACATAAACACAGTGGCTACAAGAGCAGGTCAGAGGCTAGGAATACTGCAACGAGTAACTCACCTCCTGACTCCTCAAAGCCTGTCCACCATCGACAAGGCACAAGTCAGGAGTGTGATGGAATACTCCCTACTTGCCTGGATGGGTGCAGCCCCAACAACACTCAAGAAGCTTGATACCATCCAGGACAAAGCAGCCCACTTGATTGGTACTACATTGCCATTGATGCTCAGTAGCAGCAGTGTGTACTATCTACACGGTGCAATGCAGAAATTACTAAAGATCCTTAGGCAGCACTTTCCAAACCCATGACCACTTCCACTAGAAGAATAGAGACAGCAGATAAATGGGAAGATGATCA